TGTGGTAGTGGGCCGCGTGGGGGCGTGGCCCCCCCGCCACTTCCGGAGATGGCCGCGGCCCGGGGGCGCCCCGAACCCGGGGAGACGCTGGTAGGGCCGGCCGGCCCGAGCGACAGGGAGAATCGGCGTCCACCCGGCCCCGCACCAAGCGTGACGTCACCAACGCGACGGAGAGACGCGGCGCCCGCAGATGACGCAGGGCGAGACGTCATCGCCCTGCGTCGGGCGGGGGATTTAAAAATAGCCGCTGCCCGCCCGGTAAGGGGAGGTGAGCGGAGGGACAGGGCAGCCCAGGAGGAGCCGGGGGAGACCGGGTACTGGCGGCCCTGGGTGAGGTTAAACCCAGGGGGCCGAGGATAAAGGAGAACGGACCGGGGAGAGAAAGAAGTGACCCAGGGCGGGGCCGCGGAACCTGTGAGCGGGGGAGTTTAGGGTTCGCAGACCCCCCCCCATTGTGAGTGAGGACCAGTGTCCTGACTCTAGGGCCCGGAGCAAGGGCGGGCCCGGACCCCCTTCCTCTCCCGCTTTCCTGACTGTGTGGTCGCTGAAGCGGCGGCGGTGTAACCCGTGCGTGGCATAGCACGGCGAGACTAGCGAGGATTACGAGATCCTTGAGCAATAGGAGGGGCGCGCCCAACAATAGTACGGTGAAAAGGGGGGGGTTTCCCCCTCCCCCCTCACCTTCCGGGGCGGGGCGCCTTACAGCAAGAGTGGATTCCGACGTTCCTGGATCATCCAGGAATGCGTGAGGGCGTCTTGGGCTTACTGCATGCGACCCGAGTGAGCCCGCCAGCCGCTAAGGGAGTGTGGCTGCCTGCAAGGAGTCTGCTACAACTGAGCAGGGAAGGAACAAGTCCCTGTCAATCCGGTGGGAACTGATACTTTCACTGCAGCCGCTGCATTCAGAGCTGCCCAACCCCCCTTCTCCCTTCTCCCTTCTCGCCTGAGCAGCTAATCTGTCCTGTGCCCCCTGAGCCCACACACTGGCCACAAGCCCCCCTTGGCTCTCAGCAGCCCTGCTTCACCTCTGGACATGGCATGGCTCCAGCTGCGCAGCCAAACGAAACCCCTCGCCCGCGGCGCGTTAGCTCAGGTTCTCAAGTGCACGTTGGCACCTGCTGCTTGCTGGTTTCATGGGGGTTAGTAGCTTAGGTCCCATTGAAATCAGTTAGCACATCACTATCCCAGGGGCTCTGAGGGACTGAGTTCTAGTCCTGGTTCTGGGCTCTGACCATCCGGTGTTTGCTGAGCTCCACTTCTCGGTGGCCGGAATTCCTGCTTGGCCAGTTGCCTGAAAGTTAGACAGTGTCCCCACGGCTCTGCAATGCAGGTGGCTGCGCCATGCTGGCCTCAGCAGGTAAGTGCCTGTGGCTTTCCGGAGGAGACATGGACCGTGGCCTGGCGTGGTCACTCAGGGTCACTGTCTGGAGGAGACATGGACCGTGGCCTGGCGTGGTCACAGCAGGGTCACTGTCTGGAGGAGACATGGACCGTGGCCTGGCGTGGTCACAGCAGGGTCACTGTCTGGAGGAGACATGGATAGGATCAAGGCAGTTTGAGACACCAAATACTTTTTATGGACTAATGCAGGGAGAACAGACACTCAGGGCCAGCTGCAGCCTGTGACAGCAAACCAGAGTAACCGCTAAGGAAAGCTGAGACCCCGATGAGGGAAGGGACCAGGGCTCCAGCAAGCCACAGTAGCTCCCAGCCAGCCGGTGTCCTTGGGAGACAGTGCTGCCTGGTGTCATCTGACGTGTGGTCACTCCAGGGAGCAGTCGCTGCAGCACAATCCCACTGTGGACGACTCTCTCCTTCCCCAGGGCGAAGCCGCAAAGCAATGTAGACGGAGAGTCGCGCTAGAGCCGCCCCATTAGCTCCTCCCTGGGAGTCACCAAGCCCTGAGTGGGCCCGGCTGCTCTCGTTCCACGGGGGAGAAGAGAAGCAGCAGCGAGGGCCAGAGCCAGGGGGTGTAAAGCGCAGCCGCTGTCTGACTGCAAGACAGCAGAAGTTGTGGGCCGACAGCTCAGCGCCGACGGGAGAGCACTGCAGAGACATGGGCCGGGCCTGCTTTGCCCTGCCCCGAGCCCTCGGCCACCAGCTGCACGTGGGCAAAACGAGCAGAGCAGTGCACAGCGGCGAGGGGTTCCACAGGTCGCACGACCCCTCCCGGAGCACAGTCGGATCGCCCTGGAGCCGGCCTGGCCACGTTCATCACCCTCACCATTCTGGCCTGCACCCCCCAGGCCCAATTCCAGCCCACGGTCGTGTTATGCCACCATGGCGTGACGAGTAATCCAGCTCCTCCCCTCAGGTCCCCACCCTCACCGTCTTCGATCCCTGTGCCCCCTTCCCCGTCCCGCAGTCCCTGTGACCCCCCTCCCCCATCTCCCAGTCCCCCGTCCCCCAGTCCCTGTGCCCCCTCCCCCATCTCCCAGTCTCTGTCCCCTCCCCTGTAGTCCCTGTGTCCCCCCTCCCCCAGTCTCCTGTCCCCCAGTCCCTGTGCCCCCTCCCCCGTCT